CCGAGCAGCGTGGGGGTGGGCGGGGGAGACGGCGCCCACCTGGCTCCTCTGGTTGGGGAGGGACTGGTGGGAGGAGGACGAAGAGGACAGTGACCCTCGAGCTGAAAGCCCCGCCCTGCTGATGGAGGAGGAGTATGGAGGCCTGGAGGGACCTGAGGAGACGGTCACATGATCAATGACGTAAACACCTGGTTCTCATCGACACCTGAGACGTGACAGAAGCAACACTTCATCAAATCGTCTGACTTTCTCACTAAATGACTATTTTATGGCTGAAGCCCGGTTCTTCTAGAAGTTCCTTCGTAAAGCAGCATTCTGTGAACCGTGTTCCAGGTGAGGCGGCTCACCTGAAGGATGGACTCCGTTCATGCTGCTCCTGTACGGTTTGTTCTCGCTGCTGATGGCACCATGAGGAGGCGGAGGAGTGCTGATCACAGCCGAGGCTGCAAACTGGGCGGTGGCCGAGTCCAGAGTCTTCGAACTGGACTCACTGGACCTGCAGGACTGTGGGACAGAACCGATCAGGACAGTGAAATAACTCAGGTTACTCAACCTGAACATCACACTGAGAATGAAGGTTCTGATCAACATCTGGCAGTGAATCCATGAACAAACACATGTTTCTGTTTCTATCAGTGTGAACGTGACAGACTGTGAAGTTTCTGCACTCAGTGTCATTTATAAAGTATTACCTGTGTTTACCTGGTCTGTATTCATCAGGTGTGTCATGTGAGAAATAAAAGGTTTTATGTCTTTGTATACAGTGGAAGTAAACTCCTGGTTTCAGCTGCATGTTTCAGTATTAATGTCATATTTATGGATGTATATACTAGTATATATATGTATATATATATGTATGTGTTGGTATATGTTACCTGTGTCGTGTGCAGCGCTGTGTGTCTGTATGAAAAAGTGTTGTTCTGTAGCTGCAGCTGCTCCAGCTGTTGTTTCTGCATCTGGACCAGCTGCTGCTGGTGACTGTGGTACTGCTCCTCAGTGATGCCTCCTGCTGGTGGACGGAGGAACCACAAGTTAACATGTATGACACGCGTATGAAGCATGAGCCTCAAATCAAACCGTCACTGTCATATAACAGCAGAACCAGGATGAAAACTGCTCAGAACGATCAGATATCTTTAATTTAACAGCTGAATGTTGATTAAACTGATTAAATGATCAAATATCTGGTATAAAACAGCTCAATATTGATTAAAATGGTCGAAGCTCTCAGACATCTGAAGGCTCACCTGGTCCACAGCTGAGGTCAGGTGACAGCCGACAGGTGAGTCTGCTGTCCTCAGGTGTGGATCCGGTGGTTCTGTGGTCCTGAGCCGGTCTGGGTCTGAAGCAGAACCTCCTCAGGCTCTGGATGTTGCTGAGGACTTCAGCCAGGGAGGGGCAGGTGGTTCCTGAGCTCAGCGGGGGCCTCTGGTCCGGACTCAACGGGTCGCCGAGGAGACAGGTACCGGTCCTGGTTCTGGTCCTGCTCACCGGATGCGTTAAAGAGTCCGGCTGCTGCAGGGTCGGGTCCAGAGCGCAGGAGGCCCGGTCCAGGATGATCCTGAGGGATGTGAATGACGTTTTTCACATTTAGAGATTTGAAGCAGTGCAGGACTTTAAACGTGCAGCTTAAAGACGTCTGATTGGTTACCGGCCCCCTCGTCCTATCCGGCGCCGGCTCAGTCCCATCCAATGAGGAGGCAGAGACAGTTCAGTCAGAGAGTGACGGAGACACGGCGGGACGAGCTCCGGACTGCTGTCTCCACCCGCCTGCTCCGTACGAGGCTTCAGAAACAAACGCACATCATTTTATAGAGATAACAGACCTGCAGCTAAGCTAACCGAGAGATGACCTGCAGCTAAGCTAACCGAGAGATGACCTGCAGCT